GATTCAAGCAATCCTCGATCACTTGCTTGTCTAGATTAGCCACTTCTCGCACAACAGGTTATCCGGATTACACCTTCCTCGGCCAAAATCTTAGTCACTCGATCATCTTTCCCAGTCACTGCCTTGACCGGATACTATTCTTTCTTGGCCACCTTCCTATCCGGATTAGGCCTTTCCTCACTCACATAGTAGCCGGATTCTGCCTTAGCAAATTTCGAGTTACCTTATCTGGACACCCTTCTGTCCGGATTTCTTCTCCCTTGCACACATCACTTGGCCATTTTGATCTCCTTCCTCAGACATAAGGATGTCCAAATTTATTTTCTTGGCCAATTCAAATTTTTCCCGGAAACTGTTTTGTYTGGACTGAAAGACTTAGTTGATTTGAATTATACCTTGTCTGGATTCTAAGACTTAGCCAGCTTTCACCTTCCCTTGATCACTCTTTTATCCCGATTTCACATTCTGTGTTTCACCAACTTATCTGAGTTTTGAGCTGATTTTAACTGTTTTTGATTTTTGACTATTTTTGCTAATTGTTTTTGACTTTTTTTTTTTCAAAATTGAACAGTTTTTTGATTTTCTAAGAACTTTTGTGTCAACTGATTTTATCTGAGTGATATTTTGTGAGATAATTTTGAAAAGTGATTTCTTTGATCGATTTCGATTACTGCATAGATTCTTTTGATCAATATTTGATTTTTTAAATGGCATCATTCTTTGAAAAAGAAAATAAGGATTTGAAAGAGAAGGTTCCTGATTTGGAAAAAAGTGTGAATGATTACAAAGAAAAGTATGTGAGTGTGTTTCTTGAATATCACGCTAATTTGGAATGGGCTAAAGATTTGAAACATGATCTATGAAGAAAAGGAATATCTTCAAGTTGAATTTGATGTATTACTTGGAAATGAATGTAATTTCAAAGGAAATCAAAAGAGAGACTTTGAACAGTTAAAGGAAAATTCTAGTTTGAAATCTACAATTTATGAACTGGATAAGACTTTGGAATCTGAAAGAAAAGAAGCAGATGACGAAGCAATAAAGCAAAGCAAAATTAAACAAGATTTGGTTAATGAACTTCGTAAAGCTGAGTCTGAACTGAATGCTGAAAGGAATTCTCCAGAAAAGAAGAATAACGAGGTTGAGGAGCTAACTGACAAACTTCATAAAGCTGAGAAGAAAGTTATTGATGAAAGGAAATTATTGGAAATACAGAAAGATAAGGTTTTAGAAGCCGAAAAGGTTTTGGATACTGAAAGGAAAATTTTGGAGAAAGAGAAGAAAAAGATGATTGAAATTGAGAAAAGATTTGATACTGAACGAATATCTTTTGAAAACAAGTTTAATTCTTTGGAGCTGAATGCCAAAATACTTTTAAAGCAAATTTCTGATTTTGAACAACTTATCATCTTGGAACGAGCCAAGGTTGTTAAAGAAAAGAAAGAGTTTAAAGAAGAATGTCTGAGAAAGAATTTGGAATTGCTTGATAGTGCTGAACAGAATAAGAAAGCACTAGATGAAGAAAAAAGATTGTTTGCTCTTGAAAAAAAATAGTGCTAAGAAACATGCAACAATTTCCAAAGAGCTTGCAGAGAAAAAGAAATKGTTTGACATTGCTTCTGAGAATGAAAAGAGCAGTTCAGATGAAGAAAGAAAGAATTTTGAGGAAGAAAGGAAAATGTTTGACAAGATGAAGAAAGAATTAGAAGGTAAGTTTTTAGTTACTTCAAAGAAATTGT